CAGAAAATATCAGAATGCAGAACCACGATCAGGACAGCAGCTGAATATTTTTCAACCCTTTATTAGCAGCATACAATAAAAATCACTTTGCCTCCGTCCTTGAATGGCCAGTCCTCAGACCCTTGTTGAACTCCTGCAGTATGTTCTGGCACTGGAACACGGCACAAGGCTTCCAAAGCATACGGGCTCACTCGGTACGTCCTGACATCGTGTGTCTGACAGCGTGATGACGCGTTTCGCCTGGATGGCTTCTTCGGATCACGTTTCTGGGTCTGGTCTCTATGTAAATTTATATCCATTCCATTGATTTGTAATTAGCAGCAAAAATGGTTAATACACTATACAGTGTATAAAGATTTTACACTTGCAAAACGTTTTTGTATAAGTATATGCTAGACATGTGCAATTCGTTTCGGTCCAAATGTGAATTCGGACGAATTTTGGGAAATTCGGACATTCGGGTACTTCCGAATGTCCGAATAGGTGAATTGTCGAAGTGCCGAAGCACAGTATTGCCTAAGAACTAATATACTTACCCAGTGGAAGAAGAAGAATGTTACACTGTATACAATTTTAAATAAAAAGTATACAAACATAGCCAGGATTCAGCTGTAAGCATTTGCAACACTTACAACAATCAAGTAACATACATTCATATAAAATGTAAGTTACTTGACCAGTCAATAGAATGACAGGAATGATTAAGTAGATAACTCCCTAATTCCCACGGTATTGGGGAGCCATCTACTAAAAGGCTGAAAGACCTAAATTGGTCTTTCAGCCAAATTTACTAATACTAAGTAAAGATTACTTAGTATTAGTAAATTATGCCCCTACTCGCTATACCGTGAGTAGGGGCATGTCTGTTAAACAGTGAGCAACCTATGGCTTCTCACTTAAAAAAAACAAAAAAAAACAGGTCCCCCCTCCCGAGCAGCAGCACGGGTGGGGGGCTTCTAACTTGAAGGGGGGAACGCTATTGCCCCCCCTCTGGCCCCCACCCCTGAATGGCGGGTGGGGGACCTACAGTAAAATAATGTCCTAATGTTCTCCCCCTGGCCCTCACCCCTAAATGGTGGGTGGGGGCCCTAAATACAATAAGGGGGGGGGGGAATCTAATGTCCTTCCCCCTGGCCCTCACCCCTGAGTGGTGGGTGGGCGCCCTAAATTAAAATAAAGGGGGGGACCTAATGTCCTCCCCCCGGCCCCCACCCCTGAGAGGTGGGTGGGGGCCCTACAGTCTCAATCCACCAATCAGAGAGTTATGAGTCAAATTACACAGTGTGGGAAAATTTCAAAGAACTTTCCCACGCTGTGTAAAATGAGACAGAGCACTCTGATTGGTGGATTTCAAGCCAACCAATCAGAGTGCTGTGACAGGTAAATGTAGAGACTTAACTGTCAGTCTCTTCATTTACCTGTCAGAGCACTCTGATTGGATGGCTTAAACCCACCAATCAAAGTGCTCTGAGCCTAATTGCAGGGCGGGGCAAGACTTTATAAGTCTTGCCCCGCCCTGCAAAGCGCAGTGTGTGCAGAGCCCTCCATGGGTGAAGAAGGATTATTTTATTTTTTTAAATTTTTTTATTGCATCGATTATTATTAGGGGCTGAAAAAAGAAGATTTTAGAAGAAAGAAAACATTAAATGGTAAGTTTAATTTTTTTTACAGGTACTTAGTTAAAGGTCCCCCCTCATTATTTTTAGGGTGAGGGGGGTAGGTAGGGTTTAATTGTTTTTTTTTGGGGGGGGTGACTAGGGGTTTGGGGACCCCTAGTCACCTGGGGGGAATAACATTTTTATTTAGGGCCCCACCCACTGCTCAGGAGTGGGGGCCAGGGGGGAGGACATTAGGTCCCCCCCTTATTCTAATTTAGGGCCCCACCCACCGCTCAGGGGTGGGAGCCAGGGGGAGGACATTAGCCCCCCCTTATTAGTATTTATGGCCCCCACCCACCACTCAGGGGTGGGGGCCGGGGGAGGACAATAGGTCCCCTTTTTTTTTTTTTTAAACAGTCAGCCGCCACAGGCTGCTCACTGTTTAATAGACATGCCCCTACTCGCGGTATAGCGAGTAGGGGCAAAATTTACTAATACTAAGTAATTTTTACTTTGTATTAGTAAATTTGGCTGAAAGACCAATTTAGGTCTTTCAGACTTTTGGTAGATAACTCCCTAATACCGTGGCGGCTGGAAGAGAAGTCCCGAAGTGCCGAAGTCCCGAAATTCCGACGTTCCGAAGTGTCGAAGTGCCGAAGTTGCTGAAGTGCCGAAGTCCTGAATTGCCGGAGTCCCGAATTTCGGAATGCCAAACCAAACCGAAAATGTTCCCGCTGTACATGCTTAGTATATGCACATCAATGGATGCACAAATCACTTAAAGGCACAGCGCACTTTATTTATTTTTTT